AGGGGCTGAGGATGTCACTGAATTTGCAAGTGCTTTTTCTACTCAGTACTGTTTACAGATAGCCAAACAAGTTGATGACCTACAAGGAAATTGTATTCAGCAGCTGATGAGTGGAAACTGACTTGACTTGGTTTACAGCCTCTGTGGCCTGATTTTACTGAACCTGAGTGGGTGTGGTGTGCAAGCCATCATCAAACCTTTCCATGAGAAAGTGAGATTTCCAGCAATCGGAAGGCCCTTTCTTTCCTTTCCTAATGTGGGCATGGCCAGACCTGCCATGGCACCAGTAGGTATATAATCAGATCATAACATATTCCAGGTCATCAGCAGTGTCTGTGTGGCCTCTAGGCAGACCAGGCTGGCCCAGAGCCTCCCATTAGCAATGGGGAGCTTGTGGTAACTCAATGGTTGGCACGGGGAGACCCTGGGCTTCTCACCACCCAGGCTTTAACTTGTGCAAGTAAGCAGCTATCAGTAATTTGGGGGTTCAGGCTGATGATGGGGTCTTCCAACTTCCCAGCAGAAATGAAAGTCCAGGTCTTTACCGACTTCTCAGACACTGTGGCCGGCCAGGAAGGAAGCTCTGGCCCCGTCGCTGTGCCGCCGTAGTCGGGGAGTGGGGCTGCAGTGGTTGCTTACTTCTTTCACCTGTGGTGTTGACAAGACGCAATGCCCTGTTCCAGTCCCACCCACTGGCGTCCTGACTGGGTTTCTCAGCTCCAAGTTGACTATATATGATAACATATAATAATAAAACAAAACACATGCAGAGAATTCACTCCCAGGCTTTCCCTTAGTCTCAGCGTCTGTGACAGGCTGTCTTCTTCCCACCTGCCAGTCTATGTTACTGAATAATGTCCAGGGCTTTGAGCTGTACTTAGCAGAAAGGAAAGAATACCCTTCTCACTATTCCAGCTTCTTGGAAAAAAGTCAAAAGTGCAGCATTATAAGCACTAAGCTTGTTACAGTTTAGATGACTACAGTTGATTTTTTTCTTTTTTTCTTTTTTCATTTTAGAATCAAACTCACAACCTTGCACTTGCCAGGCAGGTACTGAGCTAAATCCCTGGCCCCAACAATTGATTTTTTAAATACCCAAAGTCTTTTGTTTCTTCTATCTATTAGCCTCTAAATGAATTTCTGAAACAAACACTCATCATTTGATTTGGGGGCATGCAAAATTTTTCATCTGATTTAGTGGTGGAGGAAAAATATCACCCCCTTTTTGCCTGTCACCCCCTGCCAGGCGAATTAGCAGTGAACAAATCATATTAGCCGTATGAAGACGCAAGCAATAACAATAAAAAAAGATTTAAACTTAGCTCTGCTTTGAGTGCCAAGGACTAAAACAACTGGATTAATTTTTTTCACCAGTGGATAATTTTGTGCTCACTTAATAGAATGCCATGCATACCTCCTGTTATTATTCCAGCCTTGTTAAAGAAGGAACAGGGTGAGAGTTATCTCACTTGGAGTTCAGGAAATCAGACCAACAACAACAGCATGCGTTCTTCTCTCCTCTGTACCTATTACTTCTCTTCAAGCAGACTGGACTCCTCTAATGGGGCTCTTCCTCCTCCCTGAATTTAATCCGTGTCTTTCAGATCGCTTCTCAGCACTGCTTGGAAGAGGTCTTGTTCCTGCTTTGCCTTCTCTATTCTATTCTGAAGCCTTTCTCTTAAGATCAATCTCAAAAGTATCCTGGGTTCAATTCCCAGTACCACAAAAAGAAAAAGAAAATGCCAACCTACTCTGTACTCTGGGAATAGATTGCCACTCTTTGGGGACCATGACACTGGAATTTAGTCTCAAAGGATGAGAGTTACTACAGTGCATGCTGCATGGGGAGAGAGTAGGGGATTAATGTTCCTGGTTGGCAGAATGAGGAAAGGAGAAGAGGAAAACCACAGGATATTGTCAGGCAACACTAGCAGCGAACACAGCTGTCAGTTCTGACTAAAAGTGGTGCTAAATGACATAGGCAAAGAAGCTTGACATCGCTTCACGGAGGATCATGATCCGTGGAAAGTATTACACTTTTGCAGGAAGTGCTTCCCAAACACATTGTGGTGAAAATGGCCTGGATATGTGGCTTGATACATACAGCCCTCTGATGATGACCCTAATCTGCCTTCATGGTTTCAGTTCCCATGCTTCTGGTATAAAATCCCCAAACTTTAATCTGACAGAACTACTGGATCTTAGTACAACCCAGGGCTTCTCCATCTGATGATCTCACTCTGATCATTGCAAGTCTGATTAACTCTCATCTGCAAACTATGCATAAATTTCTCTCAGAGAGGGTTCTGGGGATTAGTGTTCCAATATATGAAAACACCCAGTTTCCTGTTGATCACTTGGTGCCCATATGATTTCCTTCCACCTTTCTGATAATGTATCTAAATTTTGACATTACAATTAGATGTGTACCTCTGCTACAAGGTACCAGATTAAGACCAGGTCTGTGGTCTAAAACAGTGGCTCTGACCAGCGACAATTTTGCCCTTTTAGGGACCTGTATCTAGAGACAATTTTACCTGCATCGGTTGCTGACTGTCTCTCATTGTAGGATGCTACTGGTTATGCTACTAAAATGCCAATAATCTCCTTAAAGCACTGCAGTGATGCAAAGGTCTAGAAGCTCTGGTTTCATTAATATTTGTGGTCCAGCAAGCAACGAGCAGAGTTGTACAGGACGGAAGCTTTCACGAGCCTTAGAAAAGACTCACAACTGCTCTTTCGCAGTTACGTTTTACACATTGCTATTGGGACTTTAAAATTGAGCTGGAAATTTGTACAGTGTGGGATGATAACAAAGTTGATGAATCTTGATTAATTTGGGGGACAAACAAGTTTCCATCTGTACCTAAAGATGACCAATTTAAAAGCTAAAATACTCTTAATCAGCAAGCTTTTGTAATGAAATGCACCAGGATTTACTTTGATATCAAAGGTGCTCCCCTGGTAGTTAAAGAATGCAACTGAATACAATTAAAAAATCACTGATAAGTAGGAGGCACTTCCTTAGCTGCATTCAGGAGGAATATACTTAATATCCTAGAATCTAGTGACACTTTAGTGAGGAGTTTAACATACTGGCCCTGAATCCCAAAATTTATCAATACTGGTTGCTTAGATTTTCATTTCAAAGCAATGAAGTAATGAGGAGTAATGAGAAGTTTGTCATTGGGATAAATTGTTACCTCAATAGTTAAACAAGTACTTAGAATAAAAAGTAAAGATAAACAATGGATAAATCTAGGCACACATCACAAGGATTCTGTGTGGCGGAGGAAATGGTGATATAAGGAACAGATTCTTCCAAAACCACCACTTCTTCCCCTTAAACCACAGCTAGGTTTAAGCTCCAGTGACGAAGCACTCATGGGACTGATATGCTCAGTGAACAGCACAATTCCTGGCTTCCGGTGGATAAAATGTTAAACATTGGTATCCACTCTATGACTACTTGATTTTTATCGTCTTTGCTGAAGCCAACTCAGAGACACTAATTTCTAACCAGTACCCTGCATTCCATAAATGAGTCTCAAAACAAAGATCTTGGTGATTTCACATTAAGGAAGTAGACTTTATTATCATCTTTTTATAGAATTCAAAGAGAAACGCGTTGATTTGGTGACTTTTCCAAAAGTAATTTCTAAAGGAAACAAATGTATCCTCAAGCATTCTTAGCCAGCTGTGCACTTAAAGACCTTTGAAGGGCATCCCGGAGGGGTCTCCCCACCTGTTCCTCCCTGAGCATGGCCACTGCTGTTCCCTCTTTCCTCCTGGGTGACTGCTGTTCCATTCCATGCTACTTCTCTTCAGAAACAGCCTGAATAGTCTAGAACATTCTTTCTCACTCAAATTCAAACTAGAAATGTTCCCAAACACCTTTTAACTGGCTCTCTTTCTCCTCCAAGTAGTTCTGAGCTCATTAAATGCCCTCTGACTTAGAAGGGTTCCACTCTCATCCTGCAGAGAATCTCTGTCTCTCAGCTAATGGAGATGGACCTCATTGCTGCCTTCACGGCTGCTTTTACCTGAGCTTCAGCTCTCTGAATCAGGACGGCCATCTTGCAAATAACTCCCTTCCCACACGGAACATAGTCACGCGAGGTCAGCACATGGCCACATCAAGACTTGTTGCAAATGTCATCCTGAATAATCTTCACCAAGGTTCAGAGCACATACCAATCAGAATTGACTCAAACTGGAGTCCTTTTACACTAAAAAAAAAAAAAAAGCGTTTGTGCTCACCTACAGTTATATTCACTTACTTGCTCCTCCAGAGCACAGAATTTGAGTGTTCCTCAAGCAATATGGAGGAATCTGAGAGCGCTAAAGTGAGGGAATAGATCTCAGCGTTTCAGCTGCAGTCATTTGCAGCAGTGATTCCCATGACCCCCCGGGGTCATCCTGGAGGTGTTTCAGACAGGGTGAAGATCTGCATGATCCCAAATTGGGGGGTCGGGGTGCTGCCTCTGTACTTCTCGTGACGTAACGCATTCCACATGCCCTGGCTGCGGTCACAGGTCTAACACCAAGTGTCTCTTTCTTACGGAGTTCATCCTCTCAAATCATTTTCTGAGGGTCAGAAGGAAGTTAGTTTCACAATCCAAAGCCCTGACCAAAGAAAAAGTAACGTAGAATTTCTTGGCCCAAAATCAAATGTTAAATCCATGGCCATGACCTATTCTTTCTCTCTTTCTCTCTTTTTTTTTTCCTTTCCTCTTTTACCTGAAGCAATTTGTTTTAGACTATCTGGCAGTTAACACATCGTGGACATTAACAGTGCCTGAGGAAACAGAGTGATAAATTTACTTAGGAGGCGTTGAATGTCCCTGGAATCAAGGATCCACACTGCAGTCAAGATCCACTCCGAACAGCGATTTTCCAACCCTGAACCTGGGCATAAACCACACGTCTCGGGAGGGCCCCGCAGTGCGGTCCGGCCCTTGCCTTTGCCTAATGTCTAAAGTGTCTCTGTTTTGTTTCAGCTGGCAGGGTTCGTCTATGCCTGCTATGTTGTGAAATGTATAACTGAGGAAGAGGACAGCTGTAAGTATCAAATCTACATCTGTTTCTTTCAAGTTCAAAGCTCCTTTGCTACCTCCTAGCCCCCCTGCTGATGTGCCTCTCAGACAGAGAATAAAGCCTTTGGTGCCCAGCAGCCTAAGGTGTTTTTCATAAAAGATCAGCACACTGAAAGAGTATTTCTGTCTTTTCATTTAAGGTATTTTAGAATCTGTTCTTTTAACAATTCTAGTAACAAGAGGAGAAACTGGAGGAGGAAGTGGTTTAAATGTGGCTAATGTGACTTCTTGCTTTTTCTAAACCACCTGTTAGGTATTGATAATCCATTTCACCCAGGACTACAAGTGTCAGTAACCAATAATGTGTGGTAGCTCCTAAAATTCTCATGAGAATTGACTTTGATTCGGGGAGTCTGCCAGTGGCACACCCGATGCCACCTGCCCCTTCCCTGGCTTCAGTATGACACAAGTGACTGGAACTCTGCTGGGATCAACACTGGAGCCAGTGACCTGATCTAGAGTTTGCAGACAGTGGCACCTCACAGAAGCCTCGGGGTGGCTCTGTCGTCTCCTCCCCACCCAAACCTGGAGAGAGGGAGGTTTCGCTTGTGCCTCGCCCTCAGCACTGGATACAGAGACCCCTGCTCTGTCTGTGTAATGCCCTGCCCATTTGCCCAGACAGCCACACTGAGTCCAAGCAGAAACCAGAATGGGAAATAACTTTGCTCCTTTCCAAACATCACCCAAATGATGGGGCTTTCGAAAAAGCAGAGTGGAAAGAAGATAAAAACACCTTTCTTTCCTACGTGACTCTGGAGAGAATCACACCAAGAGAATGCAAAGAGGTAACATTGGATGACAAACTTGGGGTAATTTCTGGATCACTCTCCTATATGATATAACTACCACAAATAATTTATATTTTTGTGCAAAAGAAATGATGCTCCTTTGGCTAAATAAGCGTTTGCAAAGCATTCCCCCATGTATCAAGGGCTGCATCACTCTTGGGAGAGTTTAAGGTTGGTAATGCACCATCTTGGGCCTCTAAGAACTTGCCTTCTAGCAGAGAAAGCAAATGTGAATGAATAAAGTATAATAAACCTCTGTGTGCGGGGAGAAGGGGGAAAGGGACCTGGGAGGAATTCATGGAGAAGGACCCAGATCTGGAAAGGCAGATAGATGTGTGTTGGGCAGCTGATATGTGAGTGAGATATCCCAGGAGAAGGTAGAGAACAGATCTGAGCGAGATGCTTGGGTGTGAGCTGAATACTGTGCTGGAAGTGAACACACGGGGCAAACAGGAAAGAACAAGCATGAATGAGATATTAGAAAAAACAAGCTTTGACAAGGTAATAGCAAATGGGTATGGAAAAATTAAAAAGTGCTCTTGGTACAATGGCAAATCAGTTGGTAGGTAGTTTACAAAAAGAGTCATTTGGAATGGACTTCAGAGAATTTACATTGGCATCAGTAGGGGGGGACTGAGAGGGAGAAAGATTAGGCAAGGGAGAGCCAGTGAGACTCCCCAGAACTGACTAAGAAACGAGATGGTGCAGGTCTGGACTGGAGATCAGTGTGATGAGGGGGGTGTGCCTGAGTCCTGCAGGGAGGGACAGGGTGAGGCTGGCAGTCACAGACGTCTACTGGGAGCGAATGGGCAGGCCAGTAGCATGGGTGTGCTACTTAGCTCGGTGAACAAGTGGTGCTTCAGGTGCCTCAGGAACGCACAGGGAAAGACAGATGCCTGGACAGGCAGCGCTCATCTTGTGCACAAAGAAACTTACTCAAAGGTTTGGAAGGGTAAAAAAAATAAGTGGACTTCTAAAGGCATGGGTTCCACGAACTCGTGGTTCCACGTAGATTTTCCATCCATGTGGCAAAGCCTTGGCTTCTTGCATAATCTCTGTGTTGACTCCCAAGCACTGCCAAAGAAGGCTTGGACTTCCTCATTTTTGATAATTTCATGATAGAGAAAGCTCTCTGGATCCTTAAAAACCATGGTAACAGTGAAAACAGAAAGCGCTCTTGAAAGCAAGCCTGCAGGGTGGGGAAGGGTTAATTGGTCCATAAGCGGACGTCTGTTTTCCCTGCGGTGGGCCAGCCGTGCAGCACCCTGATGGGAGTGGAGCAGCAAGTGTAGGCTCCAGCTACCTGATGCCGAATGATTTCAGTTCCCACCCCTCAGCGGCTCAAGACGAACAAAGGCTGGTTCTGCTCCGTCACCTGAGCTGGGAACAGGCTCCAGAGGCAACAGATGATCCAACGAAGAAGACAGCCTCAAAACTGATCTAAAGCCCAGCAGTCATGTGCCGAGTCCCGATCCAGCTGTGTTCACCCAAGAAAGCCTCAAAGAAAACCCACAGGAACACCTCCCCCAGGGAGCCCCAGAGCGAGGACGCACTTGTGGATCCCGGGAAGAGCAAGACACCACAGTTAGACACGCGCACACACGTGCTGGGCCATGTGCTGTCTTGCTTGCTCCTTGCTCTCTCTGGTTTGCTTTTCTAGAGCCTGGTTTAGTCCTGCCCAGAGCCAGGCACAGGGGCACACAGGCTCTGGCAGGTGGCAGTCCGGTGAAGACCCCTTTCCTTCTCCTGCTCCTGGGTGTCTGCACCTCACTTGGCAGGGCATGGGGAGCTCTCTGGGGTGTGTTCTCTGGGACTCTAATCCTGTGCCTGAGTCCCAGCTGATCCCCTCCCAAAGCCTCTGCCCCTTCAGTCACTAGTGGTGTCACAAGCAGGTCAGCTCTGCAGCTGTGACACCACTGCCATCTGCTGTGCGTAGCAGAGCAGGACAGCTGCTGTGAAGCAGAGAGCTGCCCAGAGGGACCCTGCCCTGGCCACTGCCCTGACACCCAGCAGGCCTCAGATCCGGATTCAGTGGCGCGAGCGCCTCTCTTGGCAGCTGCGGAGGCCAAAGTCCTCCCAGCCTGCAGGGTCTTTGTGGCTCTGGCCTCTCATTCCAGATTACCTCAGCCTTCCGGGCCACTGTGATACAGTCTCACAGGGACACAGGTATCCGTGCAAATCAGAAGGAGGCACAGCTTAGTATACAGCAGCACATCACACCCAAGCCCATGTGCACACACATGTGCATGCACGCATGCCCAGGCCACACGGCCCCTGGACATTGGGGACTCCAGTGGGCCCAGGACCATGCTGGCCTGGCCTCCTAAGCTCCCCCTGCTCACACTGGGCCCCTCGTCCTGGGGCCTCTGCCTGCCCACCAGAGCTTCCCCCGAGAAAGGCCCTGTGCTCTCACAACAGACCTGGTATATTTGCTCAGGAAAGGGCAGCATCTGTGGGGTGCAGCAGGGTCCTCAGGAAGCCACCCTGTGGGCTGCCTTGCAGCAGATCACTTCGCTTCCTTGGGTTGCAGTCCCTGCAGAGCTGGTGTCCTAGCCTGTCTGTTTGCCTCCCCCGAGGTTCTCTCTCACTGTGCTTTTGACATCTTCAGAGAGGCCTGGTTTGCTGGGCCTGCATCATGCATGCAACTCTTCCTCCCTTGGCTTCTCCAGGTAACAGTGGGGCACTGTGTTGATGACAGAACTATGAATTTATCTCCCTGCTTCATTTGCATGGTTAGCAATAGAAAGAAATCCGCGCAGTCATAAAAACAGCACTAATCCATGATAGAAAGGATTTCATCATGCAATCTCTTGATCTTTACTGTTTTCTGGAGAAATGTTTCCTTAACTAACAGTTAGGCTGATAAGAGGGGCAAGTTGGACTGCTTTTCTGAGCAGAATCCACATTCATGGGCTCTGTGCACTTAGGAGTTCTATGTCTATGAAGTCCCCCAGCAGCAGATCAAAATATCTGGGGGAGACCTGCATTTGTATTGATTATTCATGGACTTTCCGTTCTTGTAACAACCATCTACAGTATCGGCTATTACAGGTAGTCTGGAGATAAAGTACACAGAAGGGTTGGGTAGGCAGCCTGCAGACCCTGCAGGGTTTTCTGGAAGGGAGTTGAGCTCCTGTGAATCTTGGTACCCACAGTAAAGGGAAGCGCAGTCCTCCGTGGACAAGGAAGCACAGGGATGTCCACGCATCTCTAGCGGAGATTCAAGAAATTTTCAAATGTTCTTTAGTGTTGAAATTGCCTGGGAAAGGATGTGGAATATCATTTTGAAATAATGCCCTCAGGAAAAAGAAAATACCCTCAGGAACTTCTTTTGGAAGCAATATTGAAAAATGAACGCTAGATGGTTAAACTTGGAGATGGACACACACCCAGACCCAGCAAGTGCAAAGGGACTGAAACCTGGCCTTAACACTCCAAAAGTAATGTGGCCTCAGGATAAAGTCACAATTGGTTCCCAGAATCTTTCATTTTTCATTTCAAAAGACACCCACAGAAAATTATTCATGTCTGAAGTTTTCTGTTCCCTGGATTTTCTGTTGTTGTGCTTGCTTTTTTTCTCCTGAACCATGCTGGCCGACATATCTGTTTGTTGAACCCAATTCTGCATGTGGATCGTCTCTCCTGTTAGTCAGGGTCATGGAGCTTGGAACACAGCCGCGATCTGTCCCCAATGGAAAGCGTGTGTGTGGAACAGTTTCTTTCTACTTACAAAGAATTGTGAGTTTACTGCAGAAAGTGTAAAAATACAAATTGTTTTAAAAAAAAAAAAAGGGAAGGAAGGAAGGGAGAGAGAGACAGAGCAAGAAAGAGAGAGAGAGAGAGAGAGAGAGAGAGAGAGAGAGAGATTATAACTCTGAATCCTAATTCTCGGCATTTTGGCATATTACGCACCTCCTGGTTTTCCTTCGTCTCTTTCCTCCCTCCATCCCTTCTTTCCTTGCTTTTTTCCCTCCGTCCTTCCTGTCAATCATCTGTCATTCTTCCGGTCCTTGGGCTCATTCTGCTGTTCTGTTTGGTCATCTGAATTTGTTTCTGGTTATTTCTGTGCGTCTTCAATCATAAGCTAAGCAGAAGAAGACGCCAAGGAAACAGAGCAGTGAGAATAGTGTGTTTACACTAATTTTTAACACCATCCTCCAGCAAACAAAAGAGTAGT